AACTCTCCATTATCTTCCCAAGTATAGAAGTAAAACTATCAGGTCTATAATTACTTGGTACAGATTTTGACCCTTTTTAAAATATTGGCACCACATTGGCCTTACGCCAATCCAGTGGCACTATGCCAGTCATTAAAGAGTCCCTAAAAATTAGAAACATTGGCTTTGAAATGACAGAGCTCAAGTTGTCAGTCTACAAAGCATGGCAAACCCAATAAGAAGTCCTCAAGGCACCTTGACTTCCAAATGACATCACAATTATCAAATGTGAAGTCCATACCAAAGGGAGGGATGACGTTTCCATTGGGAATCAGAAAACTGCTGTTGCTGCTAAATTAGCAGCAAGAAATAGTACCGAGCGTACAGAGATCTTTGTGCCCACTTCTTTTCCTGAGATCCTGATAAGGTAGATCTAATGATCCCAAAGAAATTGCAAATTGTAGATGGATGTAATATTTTTATTTATTTATTTTCCAACTTTCTTTTACAGACTTAAGCCATCCATAGACAGTGTGGTTTTCTATCCTGCAACCACAAATTGCAGGAAAGATAATCCCTTGATTCCCCCATCAACACAGTCAGTGTTAATGGGGGAAATCCTCCTATGGAGCTATTGTGTTCTCCCAGGGAGTAGTGCGGGGGGGATGTCCCTGGCAGGAGAACACAGCGATTATTGACAGCCGCTATAGCATGGAAATCAAACAGGCTGGTTGTAAAAGGTGGATGTTAAAGGGTTGAGACAAACCATTTCACACTGAAAGTGTTCTTACAATGATCAGCTTTTATTCATTTAGTTAAAATCTATAACCCAAAAAGGAAAAACAGCTCTTGTTTGTTGTGTATGTGTTAGCAGGAGTTAGGCTTTCATTTTTAGCCATTTATGTAAAGTCCATCTACTAGTTTATCTAACAATACCCTCTTTAGACAGCTATGCTGTCCAAGTGTGACCTTACTGCTCTCTAGAAAACCCAAATTAAGACTGGAAGTGTATTGCTGGACCAATCACTAGCTGAAAATTAAGGAAAAGACCCCCCCCCTCCCCCACAAAAAAAAAAAAACGAATGCAGCCACCACATTTAAGGATTGGTAAGTTGCAATATACAGTTGTGGCCAAAATTATTCAACCCCCAATGCTGTAAAGGGGTTTAGGGACTATAGTGTACATTTGGAATTGTATTCAGAATCAAATCCTACAAGGACGTTGTAACTACCCAAATGCAACTAAAATGACATCAATTGTTTATGTAATACAGTAGTAAATGGTTCTTATGTGGTTTCTTCATTGCCACAATTATTCAACCCCTTAAAGACTACCACTCTGAAGACAGAGGTTCATACAGGTGCTTTCCATCAGGTATTGAAAACACCTGTGGATGTCACCGAGCAGCAATCAAGCATAATAAGCACCAATTAGGCAGCTTTAAAATGACTGTGATACTCAGCTCCTTCTAGACATTTACTGGTGTGGTTACAAACATGGTGAAGGCAAGAGAATGGTCCAGGAAGACAAGAGAAGAGGTGATTTCTCTTCACAGGAAGGGTAATGGCTATAAGAAGATTGCAAAGATGTTAAACATACCAAGAGACACCTTAGGAAGCATCATTCGCAAATTCAAGGCAAAGGGCACTGTTGAAACGCTACCTGGTCGTGGCAGAAAGAAGATGCTGACTTCGACTGCTGTGCGCTACCTGAAGCGTAGAGTGGAGAGAAGTCCCCGTGTGACTGCTGAGGAACTGAGAAAAGATTTGTCAGATGTGGGTACAGAAGTTTCAGCCCAGACAATAAGACGCACACTGCGTAATGAAGGCCTCCGTGCCAGAACTCCCAGGCGTACCCCCTTGCTGTCTCCAAAGAATAAGAAGAGTCGACTGCAGTATGCCAAAAGCCATGTGGACAAACCACAAAAGTTGTGGGATAGTGTTCTGTGGACTGATGAAACAAAATTAGAACTGTTTGGGCCCATGGATCAACGCTATGTTTGGAGGAGGAAGAACAAGGCCTATGATGAAAAGAACACCTTGCCTACTGTGAAGCATGGTGGAGGGTCAATCATGCTTTGGGGCTGTTTTGCTTCTGCAGGTACAGGGAAGCTTCAGCGTGTGCAAGGTACCATGAATTCTCTTCAGTACCAGGAGATATTGGATGGAAACGTGATGCAGTCCGTCACACACCTGAGGCTTGGGAGACGTTGGACCTTTCAACAGGACAATGATCCCAAGCATACCTCCTCCAAGTCCACTAGAGCATGGTTGCAGAGGAAAGGCTGGAACATTTTGGAGTGGCCATCGCAGTCACCAGACTTAAATCCGATTGAGAACCTCTGGTGGGACTTAAAGAAAGCAGTTGCAGTGCGCAAGCCTAAGAATGTGACTGAACTGGAGGCCTTTGCCCATGAAGAATGGGCGAAGATACCCGTAGATCGCTGCAAGACACTTGTGTCAAGCTATGCTTCACGTTTAAAAGCTGTTATAACTGTAAAAGGATGCTGTACTAAGTACTAAGATTGAATGTCACTTGGGGGTTGAATAAAACTGATAATGCTGTGAGCACAGAAAAGACATTTGTGGTTATTTCATTATAACTGTTATGTTATATTTGTCTGACCTACAAGTGCCTCTTTAATGTAAATGTAAGCAAGATGACTGAATGATCAAAAGCAATGTCAAACTGGCCAAAACACTCAATTTCAGTGGGGGTTGAATAATTTTGGCCACAACTGTATTACATTTTTGTTTTGGGGTTTAATACTGCATTTAGAGTTCACATTCTTGGGGTGTACAGACATGCATGCACTCATGTGAACTTACAAATAATCTTCATAAATGCTTCTTTCTCACTGCGCTTGTGCATATCCTTTTAATAAATCAACCTCTGCGAGTCAACTGATTCCTTGGGGTTCATTTACAAAAGAGTTGAGGATATTCACTTTTCAAAGTGAATGTTCACTGCAGTCATCCACTCATGTGTAAGCACACAAAAACTGTCTTTTAATTTACTTTGCACATAATTGGGTGTTCTACATGAATATAGCCTCAGCTTATTCAATAAAGTGAACATTTACTTTTCAAAATGAACACACCTACTCTTTAGTAAATCAACACCACTGAAAATAATGCTGGTGTGGCCAAAGTGATATCGACAGCTTTTAAAGTATATTTCAACTTTTTCAGCCAAATTGGGATAGCAGCTACTTATATACTTATATGTTACTTGTTCCCATTTACGTCACACAGCTCAAAATGTTTTAAAAATGCTGCTTATCTTTTTACTTGCATAAATGTTTTCCCCTTCTATGTAATGTTAAGAAAGAAACTAAGAATTAATATTTACTGTGATTATTAACCCTGCCTGAACTGTGCTGGCAGATCCTATTATAAGTTGTAAACTAGATGGGCACATTGTCTTAACAAAGGATTTAAGATCCTAGGACTTGGGTAGTACACTGTATGTTAATGGACTTTATAAGAAAGTCCCTACATCTGTCCCCTAATTGAACATTGTGAACTATTCTAAAAAATGTTTAAGCTGTCTATACAACCCTATGTGCAAACGTGCTTTAAAGAAAAAACTAGAAAAGTAAGAGATTATTTTTAACTTATTTTAGGTGTGTTGTGCAAATGGGATAACAAACATATAAATGTGACTGCAAAAGTAGAGATACCCTTTAGGCATTTAGGCACTGTAGTAGTTAAACTATGCTGCCGCTGATGACTTGTCTATAAATTTCTACTTTTATTTAATAACAAGGAAGAGCAAGCATGTAAAAATGAGAAAGTCAAAGAAGAAATTAATTGCAACACTGAACTCAAAGTACGTTCTATTTATCAATGCTTTCTGGTCTTATTTCATTCCCGTGTGTGCATATACTGTATACTTTTACTGAAGGGAGTGCTGCAGATTGGTGTTTCTAATTATGCTGACAGCAGATTGCTGGAATGCTGACATACTGATTTTCAGAATAAAAAGAAAAGTATCAGCTTAGATCTAGTGGATTTAATTGACTGTACTCTGAGTCATTACATTGCTGCAGACTTTGAAACCTCTCATTAATCCTTAGTTCCTTCATTCTTCAGTTTCTAATCCCAAACTCACCTTAGACCACTAATTGATGTACTCAGAAAAAAACTGGCGCTTAGCAGCACCTAGGTACAGAGAGACACAGACCCTGTAATGGTCAACCGAGCATCATTTTACCTTGTATTTACTAATGATGCTAAAAGAGCATGGAGACATCCCATTTTTAGCTTTATATATTCTTGCAATTTCATTCTAAATGGTTATATCAATCCCACATGATTAAACAGATGACATGCAAAATTAAAAGCAGAAAGACATCTTTTATTTATTAACCTTGATATTTTTTAATCATAAATTAGGGTTATTTTGATGTGATTTCTTTTTATGAAATTGCATGTTTGTGAAAATTCTCTCTTAAAGGGATATCCCAAGAAAAACAATATCCCACGAATGCAGGCCTTTCAACATGACTGGGTCCAGTAAATACAAAACACTTTTCCCATAATTACCTATATGTGTTTTTAAGTACAATAACCTGAGCTTAAGGCATGAACTGCTATAATGGGTTTATCTGATGTATTTCACTAAACATAATTATTTGCACTTGTACCTAAAGGCCATGTAAAAATGACATTATGATGGGTTATGTTTACTAAAGATAAGAGCTTGTTCACACTATGAGCAGAGAAGTGCATTTTCTGCACTAGAAACTTGCAAACTCTTGTTTTCTATACATCCTCTTCACACTAGTATAGAGCCCCCCCCGGGTGCATGTTAGTTTTTCTGTATTAATTTTTCTTCAACAGACTGGATCTGTGCTAAAATCTCCATTCCTGTGTTGTATAGGTGTTTTCCTTTTTTTTTATATATACTACTTTCATTCAGTTGTTCAAGCTCACATTGCTGCTGACATCTACCAGAAGTCAAATACCTCTTAAGATGCAAAAATCCCACCTAAAGTACAGCAAAATAAACTCCCTCCTTAACCCCTTCACACCTAAGGGTAAAACAAATCTTAATGCCTAAGCACAATTTTGCAATGTTGACATGTGTTAGTAAAACCATATATATCATCAAAACTACTTTGTACATCCAGATGGATTATACCATGTTTTTTTTCAGGACAAATTGGGCTTTCATTTGGTGGTAAATGGTAATGGATATCTCCTGAATCACATAAAATCCTCCTGCGCTCTTATGGTAAGTGGTGGATAAAGAAACTAAAAAGCAGCCAGCATCTATCCCGCACCAAAAAAGGGTAATATAAATAGAATATAAAGTTGATGCAGCGCTAAAAAACTAAAGACAAAATATAGTATATATCCAGATAGTAAAATAAAAATGATAACATGACCCAGGATCGCCTGGGGATACAAAAAACAATAGCCCTTATAAGACTAATAGCAGTGATAAGTGGTTTAAGTGCAGGCTAAGGTGTCCATAGTTCATACAGGGGTGTAAGTGAATCACAGCACACTCCAAAGAAGGTGACCCCGGGCAGTCTTGCTGCAGTGGCCTCTCACCTCCACTCCACGACCCTACAGGGCCATAAAGCGTAATGTAGATCACCACGAAATCCTCCAATACGGACTCTTTAGATGAATGAATGAACAGGGACAGATTTCCTCCAAGTCAGTGGATGAATAGAAGGCACTCTCCTCCGATATCACAGCCGCTCATATGCCCATAAATGAGGAGATAAACATAATCCTCATAGTGTATTACCGCTTTATTTGAATAAAGCAACAAACAAAGAAAGGAAGGTAATCCACTTACATAAAACGGCTTGTATGGAGATACAATGCTGGGTGTAAGCAGGATCAAAAAAGGTGCACCAAGATGGCGTCACGCCGGAAGTGCGTCACCACGCTATTGCCGTCGACGCGTTGCGTCACGTACCTCGTGACTTCATCAGGTCCTGATGAAGTCACGAGGTACGTGACGCAACGCGTCGACGGCAATAGCGTGGTGACGCACTTCCGGCGTGACGCCATCTTGGTGCACCTTTTTGATCCTGCTTACACCCAGCATTGTATCTCCATACAAGCCGTTTTTATGTAAGTGGATTACCTTCCTTTCTTTGTTTGTTGCTTTATTCAAATAAAGCGGTAATACACTATGAGGATTATGTTTATCTCCTCATTTATGGGCATATGAGCGGCTGTGATATCGGAGGAGAGTGCCTTCTATTCATCCACTGACTTGGAGGAAATCTGTCCCTGTTCATTCATTCATCTAAAGAGTCCGTATTGGAGGATTTCGTGGTGATCTACATTACGCTTTATGGCCCTGTAGGGTCGTGGAGTGGAGGTGAGAGGCCACTGCAGCAAGACTGCCCGGGGTCACCTTCTTTGGAGTGTGCTGTGATTCACTTACACCCCTGTATGAACTATGGACACCTTAGCCTGCACTTAAACCACTTATCACTGCTATTAGTCTTATAAGGGCTATTGTTTTTTGTATCCCCAGGCGATCCTGGGTCATGTTATCATTTTTATTTTACTATCTGGATATATACTATATTTTGTCTTTAGTTTTTTAGCGCTGCATCAACTTTATATTCTAATGGATATCTCCTGATTTTCTTTTTATTATCAAAGGAAAACTGGCCCAAAATAGTTAAAAAAATAATGTTTTTTAATCTAGCTGTGTGTTTCTTTTTACTACCATAACCTACCACCAAAGAACAACCCAAAATACATTTTTCAGCTCTTGATAATCACAGCGATACCATATATGTGTTTGTTATTTGTTGTTTGTACCCACAGTGCAGCCCAGAAACAATAGTGCGCATTTTGTTTTTTGTTTTTATTTTACCTAAAGCACACTGACACTGATACCAATAAGAAAAAAAAATCCTGACCTTTTGACCTTGATCTTTGACCCTGACCTTGACCCAAATACTTAACCTGGCATTGAACTAGATCAAACCTTGATCTAGGTATTTTTTCTTTATTTTTTCTTTTATTTTTTAATATTTATTTACTTATGTACAATGTATCTCTCTCCTCCATTCATAGAGAGAAAAAAAACAAGGGGTTCGGGCTGTACAGTGACTGATCACTGTGATAGCCAATCAGAGGCTATGATAGCGATCATGTGACCCGGAATTGGGAGTCCCGGGTCCTGATCGTTAGAACGGGACCCAGGGCTTTCAGTGACACCCCTGTCTTTGTGCTGGGAAAGCGCTATGCGGCGTGCTCCCAGCACAAAGACAGGTACGCAAATATGTGGCCCCACGCAAAAAAGCCCAGTTCTGTGAGGCCACATTATTTGTGTGACGTCGGCGTCAAGGGGTTAAAGGATAAGTTCACCTTTCGTAACATGTTACACCCCTATTCAAGGTTTAACAGTAACATGGTACGAATGGACCGGCCCCCCCCACCCCTGATCCTCATTGAGACAGCTAGTGGGGGGATCTTCTCCCTGCTAGGTGTCACAGTTCTATGAATGAGAACACTACAAGTTCCGACAGATTTTTCGGCTGACAGCTTGTAGTTCACAATGAACTATCACAGCGCTGTTGAGCTCCGTGGTAGTTCATTGATTCTTCCTGTTAGTAAGTATTTGCTTGCCTGTAAGGGATGTACAGGCACACAAATGCACTGACAGGTCTGCAGGAAACCTGCATAAATGCTTTAGAGGTTCAAAAAAATGTTCATTTATTATTTTTTTGTAAAAAAGGTAAAATTATTCTTTAATATGAATGAGGCAAGTTCTGTTAACACCTCTTAACCCAGATCCTTAGCAGATCTGAACACCTGAGCACATTACTTCGTGTAAGCCTATTATTGCCATGCACATGGATGTGGCCCTATAGTGTTCACCACTGAAATTTCATTAACTGCTTATTAATTGTTTAATTACATAACCTTCCAAATGTATTGAAAGCTGAGCATAGAAACAAATGAATTATCATTCTGCGACATTTAAATAAAGTAAAAACAACAAAAAAATTAAACCGGTAAACATTTCTGTACACTGTAAAACATAAAGCACGACCCCCCAAAGCCTGAACATGGACTGTGAACAAGCCCTAAATCATTTTTCTAGCAGATTGACAAAGCCATGTGTTTGTATCTACATGTGATGTGATCAAGCTATTTCTGACCAGTGCTTGAGGGTGCTGTTTGGAAGCAGGAGATAATCTTCGGAGCACAAAAAATGGTGTTCAGAACCAGGAGACTGCAGGCTCTACTGCACAAAAGTGGAACAATCTTCAGTATAGATAATAGGTAGGTATACTTTTCCTCCTCTACCCCCCCCCCCTACCAAATTTACCTTTTTTTTCAGGGAGCAGGTACCTACTTTGACAGGTATCAGCTCCTCCACTTCAACAACCCCCTCCCTGCCCGCAATATCTGAGATATGTCCCAGGAGGCTGCAGGTCTATCCAGAAAGATCAGCTCAAATTGCGCATGTGCAGTGGGGAGCCAGCTGTGAGCCAGTAAGAAGTGCAGGGACCCAAAGTTCAGTGAAGAACTGGCCTGGGTGCGCTGGATCCCTAGGCTGGTGTGTGCCTCTTTATTAAAAGTCAGCAGTTATGGTATTTGCAGCTTCTGACTTTTAGGATTTTGGAGTTCCTCTTTAAATAATAATTTTGGACCAAACTTATCGTATTTTTCGCCGTATAAGACACACTTTTTCTTCCCCAAAACTGGGGGGGAAAAGTTGGTGCGTCTTATACGACGAATAGAGAGAGAATCCGTGAGGCGCGGCCACGGCCGTAGGAAAGGCCGCGGCTTTGGCCTATCTCTGGAGCGGTCGGCCATCTTAGTACACCCGGCGGTGCGCGCTGACGTCATCACCCCCTCTGCTTGTGGATCCTACCATAGCGTGGATCTACAACAACAGGTGAGGAGCGGGGCAAAGCAATGTTACTGGCTATTATTACTATGTTGGGGGCAATGTTACTGGCTATAATTACTAATGTGGGGGCAATGTTACTGGCTATTATTACTAATGTGGGGGCAATGTTACTGGCTATTATTACTAATGTGGGGGCAATGTTACTGGCTATTATTACTAATGTGGGGGCAATGTTGCACTGGAACAGTGATGGTGATGACGAGTGGGGGGCAATGGTGGACTTTACAGTGATGAGTGGGGGCAATGGTGGACATTATGTGATGAGTGGGGGCAATGGTGGATGATGTATTAAACAAAAAGACAAAACGTACCGGTATGTTTGTCTTGTTGTTTTTTTTTTTACTGATCCGAAAAAGATCCGATCCGTGACTCCTGATCCGTGGAACGATCCGAACCATGAGTTCTTTCATTTCTGGATTTGTTACATGGTTGGCATAAAATTGTTCTTAAACTGCTGTTAACTTTATACAGTTGATATAAAATATTTTACTACAGTATTGGGTTCAGAATCTTTTTTTTCTAGATTTTCCTCCTTTAAAATTGGGTGCGTCTTATATTCCGGAGCGTCTTATATGGCGAAAAATACAGTACCCAAACAAACTATTTACTATATTGATATATATGATTTCTGTCAGCTCTGTATAAACTGTATGTAGCATTAGCTACATACAGTATACAGTGCTGTGTTCCAGCAATGGTACAAGGACTTATCATCCCATTCCCAAAACAAAATTGTGTCAGGCTGAAAGCTGCTTTGCCATTCACAGGAATCCTTTTTTTTTTTATCATTGAATACAAGGCTTCCTCTGAATGGGTGAGGTGGACATTGTTATGTCATCCATCCACCCACCTCTTCCAGTGTGAAGGGTTAATTGCGTAATTAACCTAACCCAGTAGCAATCGCTGTCAGGCTGCTGGCACATAGATTGTGGTTCCACAAGCTGGAAAAACTTTGTGCAGGGTTCAGCTGTGAGTGGCATTGTTACACAAGTGACAGCACGGTGTGAGATTGGCTGGTCCTTTGTCACGAGTTGGTGGGAAGGGCAGTTGTTGGGCAACACGTTGTTTCACACAGCCAATCAGAGGAAACCTTGTATTCATTAAAAAGAACACTAGGCTTCCTATGAATGGGTGAGCAGCGCTCAGCTAGACTCAAATTTGTTTTAGCAATGGGATAGGAAGTACCTGGAAAACAGGAGCTACATGCAGTTTATACTGTGCTGACAGTGGGCAGATCTATTAGTAAATTAAATAGTTACTACTATTTAAAATGATAGTGAAGATGGAGTTATGCTTTAATGCTTGTCAGGTACGTATTCTGGATCAAGTAGTATTAATGGGAGGATTTCACATATATTTTATGAAAATGGGAAAGCTTACTATGGTTAGAGGCCACTATAGGCCTTCCCAAAATGTGGGTGTCAAGATCATATGTGACCCCAAGATGAGCCCCCTTTTCCTGTAGTATCCCTGCAGTAGGGGATTGATGTTAACAGTCTAACATTCTCTATAGATTGCTGTTGAATATATTGAAGCTATATAGATAAATAACATTAAGTGACTTAGGTTTATGTCATTCTCCAGAGATTTCTTGATGCTGAGACACTTGCATTTTAAAATTAACCTTTTCATTTGTATTCATTGGACTGAATAAGATGCACCATCTTCTCTGCATGACATTGGGTTAAAGAACACAGAATATTTTTCCTACAACTAAAAACATAATATCAAAACATTCTGTTCTATTCCATTCCACAATTATTTGTGTTGCAAATGTGTGTAAGGAAATTAGAAAGATACCATCTGCTCTGAATATTGGTAGCTGTCTGCCTTTTATTCCTAATGAAGCCCTGAATCTATTTTTTTCATCATTAAACTAAAACCTGATTGTATCTTGTAAAGAACAAACATATAGACAAATTAAGCAATTCCAGGAGGCTTTTGTATTTCTTTATGTTTTAATAGATATAGTTTTTTATATGACAATGAGCAAGTAAATGTCACCCAGAAGGCTAGTGTTCATACTTATATTCTTTTATATAGTGTTGAATTCACAAGACAAAACCTTCTGTACAATGCACGGGAACAATAATCAAGTATTCTCTATTTAAAAGTACAACGTCCCCAGTATATCACTGGATCTTCATTACGGTCACAGTGACGGCTTCTGTATGATTGTAATCTAAGTTCTCCAAAGAAAGCCAGCCAACAGACTTCACAAAATAATACAATTCACTCACAGATTATAATGGTAATAGCCATGCCAACTTTGTGAAGTGCCTTCACTTTTAATCAAGGTCAAAATCAGACATCCTAATACAATGCCTCCCTAACTCCTATCTAACTAGCCATCGCCAACAGATTGAAAAATATATATATATTTCACAGCATAAAAACATAGAATTCAAATGATATGTCCCATCTCTTCCTAAAACTAGGGTATCTATTTCTGTGCCTGCTCAATACAGCTGCAAACCTTTGTAGTAATTATTCCTATGGTCTTGTCTGAGGATAAGAATTGTATTAATGTGGAATGCAGTCAGTGTATTGCAAAGTCTCGTTAAGCATATATAATAACCAGCAATCTTGTTCCTGTAATTATTTTCTATCATCATTATTTTATCTGTAACAATTCATTTTTAGTTCTGTCAACTGGCATGAAAGAATTAAGCAGAAGTAACATTAGTGGAAATGTCTTACGTGTGAGGCATGGTTGTAGAATACCTAATGTCCTACTTGCTTTGTTTAGGATGTTGAGTTCAGGTACAGTTTGTGTATTTGTTTATCTGTTAATAATATATTAAATGGATTTTTTTTTTATTTATCTGCTTTCACACATGCAAAAGTAAAATGATTATTTTGGAGAATAAGGTTTGCTGGCGAGTGATTATTGTCATAGATAACCTCAGACAGATTTGTGTCATGACATGTCAACTTATCTTGTTACTACAGACTTGGATTAAATTTTGGTAAAGTTACTGCACCTTTATGAAAATGGCTGCTCAGTCAAAAGATCATAATCTAGATGTAACATAATTAAAATATGAAGAAGTGGACAGCAAAGAATTCAAATTAAGGGAAAGCCATAGCCTGTGCTTCTATTCTACTGGTGCTTTGATAAATCTAGGAGATGAAAATGTGTATATACACTATATTGCCAAAGGTATTGGGACACCCCTCCAAATCATTGGATTCAATTGTTCCAGTCACCTCCATGACAACAGGTGTATAAAATCAAGCACCTTGACTACTTCTACAAACATTTGTGAAAGAATGGGTCCCTCTCAGGAGCTCATTGAATTCAAGCATACTACCATGTAAGGTTGCCATCTGTGCAATAAGTCCATTCTTGAAAGTTCCTTGCTACTAAATATTCCACGGCCAACGTTTAGTGGTATTATAACAAAGTGGAAGCAACTGGGAACAACAGCAACTCAGCAGTGAAGTGTTAGGCTGCGTAAAAATGTCAGAGCGTGGTCAGCACATTCTGAATATCACAGTGTGCAAAAGTCACCAACTGTCTGCGGAGTCAATAGTTAAACACCTAAAAACTTCATGTGGCCTTCAGATTAGCACAACAGTGCATAGAAAGCTTCATGGAATGGGTTTCCATGGCCAAGCAGCTGCATCCAAGCCTTACATCACCAAGTGCAATGCAAAGCGTTGAATGCAGTGGTGTAAGGCACGCCGCCACTGAGCTGAAAAGTAGTGGAGACGTTGTCTGGAGTGACAAATCACAGTTCTCTGTCTGGCAATCCGATGGACATGTCTGGGTTTGGCAGTTGCCAGGAGAACGGTATTTGCCTGACTACATTGTGCCAAGTGTAAAGTTTGGTGGAGGGGGGATTATGGTGTGGGGTCATTTTTCAGGAGTTGGGCTTGGCCCTTAGATCCAGTGAAGGGAACTGTTAAGGCATCAGCATACCAAGACATTTTAGACAATTACATGCTCTCAACTTTGTGGGAAGTTTGGGGATGGCCCCTTCCTATTCTAACATGACTGCACACCAGTGCACAAAGCAAGGTCCATAAAGACATGGATGAGTGAGTTTGGGGTGCAGGAATGTGACTGGCTTGAGTCCTGACCTCAACCCAATAGAACACCTTTGGGTTGAATCAGAGCAGAGACTGTGAGCCAGGCCTTCTCGTCTGACATCAGTGCCTGACCTCAGAAATGCGCTTCTGGAAGAATGGTCAAATATTCCCATAGACACATTCCTCAGCTTTCCCAGAACAGTTGAAGCTGTTATAGCTGCAAAGGGTGAGCCAACTTAATATCGAACCCTATGGACTAAGACTGGGATGCCATTAAAGTTCATATGTGTGTGCAGGCAGGCATCCCAATACTTTTGGAAATATAGTGTATACTGTATATATTAAAGTGGATCTACAGTGCCTTAAAAAACTATTCATACCCCTTGAAGTTTTCCACATTTTGTTATGTTACAACCAAAACCGTAAATATTATTAAAAAATGTTAAAAGCCATTGATCATTTTCCTTCCACTTCACATCCTAATAAAATAAATTTACATTTTTGGTTGTAACATGACAAAATGTGGAAAATGTCTAGGGGTGTGAATATTTTTTCAAGGCACTGTATATTCATAGAAACAGAAAAATAACGGCAGAAAAAAGACTGAGTGGTCCATCGAGCCTGCCTTTTTTTTCTTTATATATGTTTTTATTTGTTACTTTTTATAGATTTTGTATAGATTCATGTTTGTCAGATTCATGTTTGTCCCAAGCATGTTTGAAGCCATTTGCTGTTGACTGGCTCACTAACTGCTGGAAGTTTATTCCAAGTATCAGCTACCCTTTCAGTAAAATAATAGTTTCTAAGATTAATTTTGAACTTTCTTCCAGTTGTTTAAAGTGTTACTAAACCCACAACAGTAAAATCAGTCTGTATATGCAGTAAAGCATGCTTGTTATACTCACTATGGAACCTAAGGGGTTAATCCTCTGCATTGTGTAAAAAGGCTGTTTGATCCTTTCTTCTTCGTTCCTCCCCTTTTTTAAGCAACCACCTCTTATCTCCAGATTGAATCATAGGCATGCAAATGCTCAGTTTGGCATATATTGCTAGAGAGGTTTTTTTTTTTTCTTGGGAGAGTGCATGTGATCAGCACAGGGCCAATCAGCGCTGTCCAGACAGAGGGCAGGGGATTTCCATCCTCCTAGATCAGAAAGTAAACTCCTCCTACAAGCTTTAGCTAGTGCTGGGCTGGACACAGATAGAAGCCAAAAGACTGCTATAACTGCTGACGAGAAAAGGTATTTAGCAGTTTATATTTACTAAAATAATTGCACTTCCATGTTCTGTGTACTGTGGGGGACCAGATATAGTGCATGCAGGGTCCTGGGTTTAGTAACACTTTAAGGACATGTCGCTGTGTTCTTGATTTTGGTTTC